TCAAATGAAATGGCTGACATTGACAGTCAACGGCGGCCAAATCTTGGGCATCGTTGACCAAAAACGACGGCCATATCTTTGGCCATCGCAGACGTCCAGATGTAGCATTTTTCGTCCGTCGACGGCTAGATATGGCCGTGATCTGGCCTTTTCCGGCCACATCCGTGGTCGATCTGGTCGGAAAAGGCCATATCGATGCCCTATCAGCCTGATCCTATCGCAATGCGTCGTAACGCCCTTTCCCGGTAGGTTTCCGACGGTGTTGGCCAGAATCTAGAAAGTTGGATAGGTGGGGGTGTATTTGTCAAATTTTCAAATCTTTCGTTGGTCGATTAAGCGATCGTAATAAAAGGAATTTCGTTCACACAGGGTCGCTTAAGCGATCATAGATATCGTTTAAGCGATTCTTTTCTTTTTCACTTGGTCGATTAAGCGATCTTGGATCACTTAAGCAATCATGTGATTGGCAGAATCAAATCTGCCCAGGTGCATGATCGCTTAAGCGATTCTTCTCTTTTTGTCTTGGTCGATTAAGCGATCGTGAATCGCTTAAGCGATCCGAGATATCACTTAAGCGATTCTTGTCTTTTTGTCTTAGTCGATTAAGCAATCGTGGATCGCTTAGGCGATCGTGCCCCTGGTCAGAATCATCTGCCCAGGTGCACGATTGCTTAAGCGATCCTAGATATCGTCTAAGCGATTCTTGTCTTTTTGTCTTGGTCGATTAAGCAATCGTGCACGTGGGCAGAATCATCTGCCCACGTGCACGATCGCTTAAGCGATCCTGTTTGAAAAACCCTTTGTCGCTTAAGCGATATGCTTAGTCGCTTAAGCGATCATTGGTAATATATACTTTGCCTGCTTTTCTCCTGAATTTTGACAAACTAAAATTACCAACACGTATTAATTTCATACTTTCTCCTCAATTTGACAACCTAATTCCAAACTAAAATCAACAACAAATATTTAGGCCATGTAACAAGAAATATAAAGAATGATTTATTAAAGGTAACAATAAAATTTATAACATCAATAATTGAAAACAATAACTCATCAACGGTTGGCCTTAGCAACTCCCTGAATTTCATCCTTCTTCGAACCTAATTTTCTGGATCTGCATGTGATTGCTTTTGGCAACTGCTTCTCTTGTGGCCAGGTTGCTTGCAAATTGAGCACTTATTCATCTTCCGGGGAACCTCAAAGGCTGATGGAATACGCTTAACTCTTTTTCTCCCCTTTGCTGTCTTCTTGAATGGCGGGTGGATGATAATGTTAGCCATCTCTGGCGGCACTACCCACTGCTCTTCTGGAGGCACCGGATATATTGTTTCTGAATAAGCTAGCATGTAGTGATCTGTCATATAGAGAGGGGAGCAAAGTTCCATGTAAATTCTTGAACCAAAATCCAGCTTCCGTTGGTGTTTCAGTGCTGCTAGTGCATGAGGACAAGGTAAACATTGAATGTCAAACACTTTACAGCTGCAAGTTTTTCTAACAAGGTTAACTAGAGCATCCGGACCATAGCCGCGCACAGTGAACTCTTGAGCATTAAGAGGATAGGCAAACAGTGCATTTGACAGTTCCATACGTTCTCGCAATAATTTTTCAGCTGACGGAACAAGGGTTGTAGTAAAATTATTTGACTCCGTACGACGCTCATGGAACCACCGCGACAGTGTCCTTTGGATTGCATCAAAAAGTGCAACTATTGGAAACTCTCTTTCTATTAACAACTTCGAATTTATGGACTCAGCTATGTTCGTGGTCATGACATCAAACCTTCTTCCAGGAAAGTAAGCTCTACTCCATCTCTCGAAACCAACATCATGCTCAAGATACTTAGCAACTCTAACATCCTTGATTCGGATTTGCTGGAAGTGCTCCTCGAACTCATCAACCCGATAAGCTTTTGCTGCCATGTAGTATGTCTGAAGGAGGCCAGCACACTTAAACTTTTGTTTTATGTTCTCACCAAGGTGCCTCATACAGAATCCGTGATGTGCTTGACGGTAAATAGTGGCAATCCCCTTCTTTATAGAGTTGTGCCTATCGGATATTATGCACAACTCGTCACTGTCAGGCACTATCGTACGTAACTGCTGAAAAAACCAAGTCCACGACTCGTCATTCTCAGAGTCAACCACACACCATGCAACAGGATATGTGTGATTCTCGCTGTCCTGTGCAGTGGCCACCAACAATGTACCTCCATACTTTCCCGTTAGAAAGCAACCATCAACAGCCAACACCTTTCTCATGTTTACAAAACCCCTTATAGCAGAACCGTAAGCAACAAAAAAATATTTAAACATCATATTCCTGTCCCACTTCAAAGCCGTCTTGCTACCTTGGTTTGTCAACTCAAGCATATAACGGTACGCTTCTAATACTGCGTACCCGTGCTCCGGCGTGCCCCTCACAAAATCTTGTGCATGTTGTCTACCTTTCCAGCATTTCCAGTAACTAACAGCACATCCCAACTCTGTGCGCACAAGTCTCTGAATGTCTTTAGGAGATGGACCTTTCCCTTCGACGAACCGACTTTTGACAAATTGTCCAATAACATCAGCGGACGCTTGTCGATGCTCACCTGAAATATGTCCCAAACCACATGTGTGCTCACGGGTATATGTGCTAAGAATAAACTTTTCCGACTCCGCCAACCTTCTACAATAAACCCGCCACTTGCAGTTTCGGTCACGACATGCAACCGTCACAGCCAATGAATTTGACTTTTTGGTGATGAACTCAAAATTACCTTTCACAGCAACAAGTTTTAGCTTCCTCACCACTTCCTCTTTGTTGTCAAATAAATACCCTATGCGCAAGTCCGATCCATCCGTAAAGACATGAGCTGATCCACTACTACCTCCAATTGCCCCCTTTGAACCTGCATAAACGACCATAGTGTTCTCTTCCTCACAATCTACGCCTTCTGCATAATCTGTATTTAAAGGAATCTCTACATCTGTGGGAACATCTACGGGGTCCTCCTCCTCAACATTTTCATTCTGCCCCCCATCACCAACCTCTTCTATAGTGTCCTCCTCACCACCCAATTGACCGTCTACTCTTGATTTTTCAGCTAACAAATCAATGGCCTCGTAGTTCAAATTAAAACCAGGCAAATCTCCGCCTACATCCTCGTTATCCCCTTCCTTGGAACCAACTTCCAACGGTTTTTCTACATAAGAAACCCTTAAAATCGGCCTCGAACCACTATCGGCCATATCAATCATAAATAAGTTCACACTTTCATCCGACTTTAATACAGCAGGAGGTACCTTATAATTTTCAGGAGCTCTGCTTAAAACATACTTCACAACTATATCACTACGCGAGCAACTCAAATTACCTCTTCTAATTATTTCATCAATCAACTCATCAAAACTAACCTCTGTGCTCACAGCAATTGGTGTAACTTCTTTGCTCTTCCCAATCCACTTCCACCTACTTTCTTCCTCCACCCACTCACCAAAATATTCAACACCCAAAACAACTTTTCCCATGTATAATAATAGCCAACTACCTGTAATGCAAGAAAAACAATATTCTTAAATGCTGTACTAAGGGTTCAAATAGTTTAAAAAGAATCTGCACATTCGCATATTTGGTCTGATGTATCGCTTGAACGATCATGGTTATTTATACTGGATCGCTTAAGCGATACACCTGATCGCTTAAGCGATTAAGTATAAATAACCTTGATCGCTTAAGCGATCTTATGCCATTTACTGATCGCGTAAGCGATCTGCTCCCATACAACAGACTTTAACCAGATCGCTTAAGCGATCTTATGCCACATACCTGATCGCTTAAGCGATCTATCTGCTGCATTACCAGACCTACCGGATCGCTTAAGCGATACACCAGATCGCTTAAGCGATCCATCGTGCCCAGAACACATTTTCAGTCATCTCCACCTACAATCGATCCATCATACCCAGAATAAATACCCAGAACAAATTTTCAACAAATTTCACTCCTTTCAACTTGCATTACATCAAACACAACCCAACAACCTAAACAACTAAATCAAAATCATAACCCAAACCCCATCCATTATTAAATCTTTGTAAATCTAAATATCAAATGTAAAAAGGAGATACACATACTTAGAGGAAATGTCAGGAGGAGGAGGAGGGGGATCTTTGGCGGAGAAGATGTTAATGGTCGAGGAAGAATAAAGTGTTAATGGTGGAGGAACAAGAAGATATAGAGGAAGGAGGAAGAAGAATAAGATGTAAACGAAGCTAAGAATAAGAGAAGAAGATGTAGAGGTAGAGATGCGTTAATGGCGGGAAGGTGTTTGGGTTTGTTTGCAACAATTTAAGGTTTATGGGAATATAGTATAATTTTGAAAAGATTACATAATACTTCATTAATCCTAATTAAGCACTAATTACCCTTAATCAATAATATGGCTATTTAGTTAACACTGATAGTCTTTTAATTAAATGCAAACTTGAGATGGTCTTTTAATAAACTACCCCTAGGGCCACCCCCATCTAAGCGGAATTGGGTGGTAGGGTCACCACAGCCTAGGAATCCAGTATGATGCATTTTTTGTAGGAGTGACTTCATCAATCGCACTAAGTCTAAAGGCATTGGCTCTAAGTAAAGCATCAAGGATGAACAAGATAACAATAACTATTCTCTTCATGTTTTCCTTTCACTTTACAATAATTGAACGATGTAGCTTTTCTGTACAGCTTCATTCGCTGGGGTGCTTCATCATAACAATTCCCGAGCCTCTGCAAGAAGGCTTCTTCAGAAAGCCAAAATGATGTAACCGGATTATATGGAATATTCTTAAGCAAACCTTTGGATGACAGATATTGAAGAACTGAAAGCGAGGAATTATTCTCTTCTCCAAGCTAAGTGAAAGAAGAAATGACTGCTTCACAATGACAGAAGGCTCCCAACCCATTTTTGTAAACAAAATGGTCCATCACTCTCATAATCTTATCCACAGACGTAGTCATACACCAAGGACTCTTTCAAAATGTTATAAGAATCTCTTCCTCAGACCAACCCCACCTCTTGTACACATCAATCTTCTTATCCCATTCAGATTTGGGAAGTAACAACATTATAGCAATAACAATAACAAACTGTGATCTTATAGGATTGATGCCCATCTCCTTTACCAAGTCCACAATCTCTTCAAAACGACTACACTGATATGTACAAACGAGAGACCATTTACCAAGTAACATAACAATATTAGATTCAGGTACACCATTATCTCGCAAATAATTGACTTTAGGTGAAATCAAAATTTGGAGGTCACGAAGAACAATTACTGGAGAAGTTTTAATAGAAGTAATTGCCTTTTCACCAGATTGAAGCAGGTTATTATGGTAATTAATGGAAGGGATTATATGATTTTTCAAGCTCCTTTGTAAGACAGTAGGTCGCCCACATAAAAGTTTTGCAAGATAAGGACTTGGTAAGCCTTCGGAGTGAAAAAACTGAAGTTTTGGCAAAACGGTTTCCTCAGGATTCGCCAAAAGCAGTTTGGGAGTTTTCTGATGAGATTTCAGATTTCGGTTTCTGAGAAGCCACTGTTCTTGAACAAGGTGAGCACTAAGACTGGGTTTTCTGGAGTTTCAAATTGCAAACATTTGGAAGCCTTTAATGCCGATTCTGGAGAAAACCCACATGAATTAACGAGGTATGAGAAAAGATTGTTCAACAATTATTAACTTAGAAAATAAGTTGTATCAGAGCAGTAAGAGGACTAAGCAAGGCCTAATATTCCAGTATGATAGAGGTTTAGCGTCTTAAAAGATACATTGCTGAGCATATTTTTTACTCAAGAGGAAAACATGAAAGGAATGAAAATAAACCATAAGTAGTTGTCTGGATCAAAATTTCTTTCTAAATAGCAGGTCAGTACTACAGAGAAGAGCAACACTTTGATTTTGATGTAACATGTATAATGGCTTCTATCTCTCTATGTAATAAGTTCTCTCTTGAAAGATCCAGCTTCTCATTGTACAGCTTCATAGCCTGGAGCTTCATCATAACAATTCACAAACTTCGTTCAAGAAGGTCTTTTCACATAGCTTAAACGGTGTAGCGGAGAGAAGCTTATTCTTAGGCAAACCTTGGTTAACAGATACTGGAGAACTGAAGCAAGGAATAATCTCTTCACAGCTTAATGAAACAAGAATTGGCCGTGGGCAAGGCAGAAGGCTCCCACCCATTTGTTCACAAAATGTCCATCACCGCCATTATCTTATCCTCGGATGTCATCAACCACCAAGGATGCTTCTGAAATGCAGCAAGAATCTGTTCCTCAGACCAATGCACTCTTGTAAACATCAACCTCTTATCCCACTCGGATTGGACATCATGGACATTATAACAATAGCTCGGACAAACTGTGACCTTAAGGGATCCATACCCATTTCTTCAATAAGTCCACAGTATCATCAAAACGACGAGAAATATTTATTATACATTAGGCATCTATAAAGTAACGTAGCAATCTGGTTTCAGGAACACCATATCTCGCAAAACTTTGAATTTTAGGCGCAACAAATTTGAAGATGCACGACAAACAATAAAAGGAATCGTTTAATAAAGAAATAACCTTTTCAGCAGATGAATCAGTTACTAAGGTAAGTAAAGGAAGGGATTATACGGTTGTTTAAGCTACTTTGCAAGATAGTAGGGCACCGACTTAAAACAGTGGCAATCAATACTTGAGAAGCCTTTGGAGTGAAAAAAACTTCAAGTTTGGGCAGAAGGCTCGCTCAGGATTGGACAAAAGACAGTGATGCGCGTGTCTATTAGGTCAGAGATTTGGGTTTCTGAGAATCCACTGTTCTTGAACAAGGTGAGGACTAAGTCAGCTTTTTCTGGGGTTTCCAATTGCAATTTTTTGGATGTTTTTAAAGCAGATTCCGGCGACAACCCACATGAATTAATGAGGTAAGAGACAGTAAAAGATTGCTCATTTGAGTTGGTTGAGGTGTATTTGACAAATATTGGATTAAAAAAATCTTGAAATCTATGGTTCAGTGAAGCACTAACAGTGTATCTTCCATGGCTGTGAACTAAAGTTCTGCGAAGAAAACTAAGCGCCATGATTGCAAAAATAATAGAATACACTTACCTATGACCTTATGCTCCAGAGTCCAGACATCTCCTTCAGAAAGCTAGCATACTTCAGAAATCCGTTTAAGTTGAACAGGGGAAAGAAACTGAACCTGAAACCCTCGACTATTATGCAGCGGCCCGGCAAAACGTCGTTGAGATTTGAGAAGAAACAAAATTTAATTATTAAAGCCCAACCGACCTCTGCACTATTGGGCTTCATCTGTAGTTATTAGAAACATCTTAAAGACGTTCAAGTTTCAACAATTTGATTGCCTATGAAAATGTAACGTCTTTTTAGCGCATTTTGACCATTGACAATGATGATCCATTACAAAAGGTATTTGACATGAAAGCTTCTCAACATTCAATCTAAATCAATGTAATCAATGAATCTTGTTTTCTGGTCCATTAGGATAATGTTATTGCAAGTTTATACCCTTAATCTTACTCATAATTGTTAATTCATTTAATAGATTGAAAAAAAAAAAAAGTAATACTATGCTCACAATTCAATCTCACAACCTTCTCTTACAACCCCGACAACTGTCACGTTAATTTTCACCACACTTCAACTCTACTGTCACGTTAATTTCCAATAATGGTCGTTCGTCTCTAAAGAACAGTCATACATGTTTAATTAAAGTAGTTAGTTGATATGGTAGTGTCAACTCAGTTGCCACATTAGGATTGGAAGATGTTGATGCTTGATTTTAACACCAACTACTTACATGTGTAAAATGCTAAAAAGATTTAGAAGTCCCATGTGATATGAGGGGATTAAAATAAATAAAAGGTGAAGAGCAATATTTAAAGTGGTTCGAATGCTCAAAAGCGAATCCTACGTCCACTGCTATTGTATTAATAAGAGAGAGAGGTCGGGTCGCGTTCAACGAGTTGAGTTACGTTTAGAGAGAGTATATAAGAGAGAGAGAGAGAGAGCAATTTGAGAGTAAAATTAGTTAATCTCCCACAAATGAGAGGAAAGTCTTCTATTTATAGTGAGAGAGTTCAAGATAATAATTATAAAAGCTACAAGTGTGTAGGTGTCGTACAAATCATTTCTTTGCGTCACATTGGTTGCCTGCCTGAGGGATTCCTTGACTAAAGTAGGTCTTTGAAACGTGGGTGATCTCCAACTGCTTGCTGAACTAGCACTCATCTGCTGCACTGACAAGAGCCATACCACTTATTCTAGGCTCGACGTAGCCGCACTTTGACGGCATAGAACCTTTCTGAGCTTTGACCATCATTTATTGATGAGGCTTCACGTTAATCCTATTTTTTCAGGCATAACATAAGAGAAAATTATACAATTGAATTATATAATCGTAGTATTTTTGAAAAAAGATTCACGAGATTGCCCAATATGATATGAGCATTACAGGAATGCGCCACTACCATATCCAGCTCAAACTCAAGTTCCCAAAAATTGATGTCAATTAGCAGATGAGATACATACATACATATTTAATACATTTTAAATTTTTAATAGCACAATATATATTAAATTAGAAGGTACACCTAGCTTTAATTAATTGTAAATGCCCAAAATAAAACAAAATCAATACATGGTAATAATGTGAAGAGATTATTGTACTGGCAAGAGGGAACCATATTCAAAAGATCCGAAACCCATCACCATAATCACCTCGCCGACATTGGTCGATTAGATACGGTTACTTTACTACAGTCCAAGACCAACCAAAGCTTCTAAACCTTACATGTGGCCAAAACTTGTCCAAGTCAAAACAAAACCACTTTTCACCTGCTTACCGGCTGCTTCCGTACCTTCTTTCCCCATCACTCCCATTCCTCAACCGCCTACTTCCGGTCACTTCTTTTTACCTTCTTGTACTTTTTTTTTTTTTTTTTTTTTAATAATTTATAGACTTGTAACCTACCCCGCACCAAGTCATTCCTCCGTTTAGTCCTCCAAATGCTGACATTTAAGACATCTCGGACGTCCGTTTCTTTGGTAATTTACATCTCAGCCGTTGGTTACCACAACGGAATGCAACTGAAACAACCTTCACATGATGTTTACAAGCTCCATTTGTCTTTTCCGCCTCGTACTAGATTTAGAGACAACAGGTTGCTTCTTGGCAGACCAAGAGATGAGGTTAAGACCCAAAAAAACACCAAACCACACGTTGGGTCTGTTGTCAGGGTCTCAGCCTAATCAGAATCACAGTAGGCATTAATAGAGAAGGAACCTGGCTTGTAGAGCATGCCAAAGTCAAGTGTCTGTTCAAGTACCTAACAACTCGTTTGGTTGCTGTCCAATGTAAAGAAGTGGGAGCTTGATGTGTTGACAAAGCTGGTTTACAGAATATGCATATCGAGGTGGTTAAGGGTGACATACTGCAAAGCACTTACAGTTTGGTGATATTCAGCCGAATCCAGAAGAAGATCTCCATCAAACTTAGACAGTTTGGAGCCCGAGACACAAGGAGCTCGGTGAGGGCCGGATTCCCAGGAGTTTCACCCGTTCTAACAAATCAATGATATACCTGTTTGGCGAAGGTGCAAACCAAAAGAATGTGTGTGGCTTCAATACCTAGAAAATAAGTAACTGGCCGAGATCCTTCATAGCAACTCAAGTTGCAGGGTAGAGTAAGAGATGTAATGAAGTCCAGAACATTGGAAGTGACAAGAATATCATCCACATACACAATAAAAACACCGGACGAAGTCTTGGTGAGGTGAATAACGATGGGTCAACCTGTGAACTGTGAAAACCAAGAGAGAGCAAGACAGTTGAGAGGCGATAAAACTACGCCGAGGAGCTTGCTTCAAGCCATAGAGAGATTTATGAAGCTTACAAACAAATTGGGAGTGCACGGATCCTCAAAACCTTTCGGTTGGGCCATATAGACCTCTTCTTCTAAAATGTAGGAGAAAGGCATTAGAGACTTCAGTTGGTGATATCCCAGTTGAAAGAAACTGCAAGTGAAAGAACCATACGGACAGTAGAAGGTTTGATGACCGGGCTAAACGTGTCATGAAAATCAACCCCACTGCGTTGGAGATAATCAACCGCTACTAACCTGGCCTTGTAACGGTCAATGCTGCCATCGGGTCTATGAGTTTAAAAAACCATTTGCAAGGCACCACATTTTACCAGGAGGACGACGGCACAACAACCCGTTTCATTCTTCAAGGGTGCCTAAAATTCACTCTCCATTGCTGCATGCCACTCAGGTATAGGTGCCGCTTGAGCATAGGTACAAGGCTAGAATGCCGAAAATGGTCCATCACTCTCATAATCTTATCCACAGATGTAGTCATACACCAAGGACTCTTTCAAAATCTTATAAGAATCTCTCCTCAGACAAACCACCTTTATACACATCAATCTTCTTATCCCATTCAGATTTGGAGAGTAACAACATTATAGCAATAACATAACAAACTGTGATCTTATAGGATTGATGCCCATTTCTTTACCAAGTCCACAATCTCTTCAAACGACTACACTGATATGTACAAATGAGAGACCATTTAGCAAGTAACATAACAATATTAGATTCGGGTACACCATTATCTCGCAAATAATTGACTTTAGGTGAAATCAAAATTTTGAGGTCACGAAGATCAATTACGGAGAAGTTTTAATAGAAGTAATTGCCTCACCAGATTGAAGCAGGTATTATGGTAATTAATGGAAGGGATTATATGATTTTCAAGCTCCTTTGTAAGACGGTCGCCACATAAAAATTTTGCAAGATAAGGACTTGGTAAGCCTTCGGAGTGAAAAAACTGAAGTTTTGGCAAACGGTTTCCTCAGGATTCGCCAAAAGCAGTTTGGGAGTTTTCTGAGAGATTTCAGATTTCGGTTTCTGAGAAGCGACTGTTCTTGAACAAGTGAGCACTAAGACTGGGTTTCTGGAGTTTCAAATTGCAAACATTTGGAAGCCTTAATGCAGATTCGGAGAAAACCCATGAATTAACGAGGTATGAGAAAAGATTGCTCAACAATTATTAACTTAGAAAATAAGTTGTATCAGAGCAGTAGAGGACTAGCAAGGCCTAATATTCCAGGATGATAGATGATTTAGCGTCTTAAAAGTACACTGCTGAGCAAATTTTTTACCTGAAGAGGCAAACATGAAAGAAATTGAAAATAAACCATAAGTAGTTGGACCAATTTCTTTCTAAATAGCAGATCAAGTACTACAGAGAAAGAGCAAACTTTGATTTTGATGTAACACGTTATAATTGCATTCTATCTCTCTATTGTAATCAGTTATCTTCTTTGAAAGATCCAGCTTCTCCTTGTACAGCTTCATTAGCCTGGGAGCTTCATCACAACAATTCACAAACTTCTGCAAGAAGGTCTTTTCACATTGCTTAAACGGTGTAGCGGAAAGCAGTTTATCTAGGCAAACCTTTGGTTAACAGATACTGGAGAACTGAAGCACGAGGAATAATTCTCTTCTCCAGGCTTATGAAAAAGAATTGGCCGTGGGCAATGGCAGAAGGCTCCCAATCCATTTTGTTCACAAAAATGTCCATCACCGCCATTATCTATCCTCGGATGTCATCATACACCAAGGATGCTTAGAATGCAGCAAGAATCTCTTCCTCAGACCAATGCAACCTCTTGTAAACTCGACCTTTATCCCACTCGGATTTGGACATCAAGGACATTATAACAATAGCTGGGACAAACTGTGACCTTAAAGGATCCATCCCATTTCTTCAATAAGTCCACAGTCATCAAAACGACGAGAATTTATAATAAAAAAGGCCCTTATAAAGTAACCTAGCAATCTGTGTTTCAGGAAACACCAATATCTCGCAAAACTTTGAATTGGTGCAACAAAAATTTGAGATCACAACAAACAATAAAAGGAACTCGTTTAATTAAAGAAATAACCTTTTCAGCAGATTGAACAAGTTACTAAGGTAAGTAAAGGAAGGGATTATACGGTTGTTAAGCTACTTTGCAAGATAATAGGGCACCGACTAAAGCAGTGGCAATATCCGTACTAAGAAGCTTTGGAGTGAAAGAACTCAAGTTGGGCAGAAGGCTTCGTCAGGATTGGACAAAAGCATGATGGGGTCTTCTGGTTAGTGTTCTCGAGCAAGGTGAGGACTAAGTCAGCTTTTTCTGGGGTTTCCAATTGCAATTTTTTGGATGTTTTTAAAGCAGATTCTGGCGACAACCCACATGAATTAATGAGGTAAGAGACTGTAAAAGATTTCTCATTTGAGTTGGTTGAGATATGTTTGACAAATATTGGATTAAAAAAATCTTGAAATCTATGGTTTAGTGAAGCACTAACAGTGTATCTGCCATGATTCTGAACTAAAGTTCTGCGAAGAAAATTAAATGCCATGATTGGAAAAATAATAGAATACACTTACCTATCACCTTATGCTCCAGACATCTCCTTCAGAAAGCTAGCATATCGTAGAAATCCGTTTAAGTTGAACAGGGGGGAAAACCTGAAACCCTCGAATATTATGCAGCGGCGCGGCAAAACTTCGGTAATTCATAGAACAAGAAATTCTAATTAACCTTGAAGCCCAGTTCATTAAGAAATTCTATTTAAACTTCGGTAATGGTTTTGAGAAGAAACAAAATTTTATTATTAAAGCCCAAAGCCCAACCGACCTCACATTATCCTTTTTTAATTTTAAAATTTCATTTTATACCTTTATTTTTTTTTTTAAATTTCATTTTATACCTTTATCTTTAATAATGTAGTAGCCTTTTAGTTATTTTAATAATAAAATATATTTAAAAACCACGTTTTACCAAATGTATCAATTATTTATCAATCATTTATAAGTACTTTAACCGTAATTGCTTAAATATTATATACTTATAAACTTAAATTAGCTTATAAACATTAGTTACTTATATGCTAATTTTCATAAACTCAGCCTAATAGGCTCTAAGTTGCTTCAAATTTATTGTTTAAAATTAATTTTGTTTTCTGGTCCATTACGATAATGTCATCATACCCCAAGGGTGTTTCCGATATGCTGCTAGAATCTCTAAGCTTCTCTTCAGAATACATGGCTGATAACATAATATTCTAGTAATGTCAGGGTATGAGAAGCCTTTGGAGTGAAAAAAAATCTAGTTTTGGCAAAAGGGTTTTCTCATGACTAGACACAAGCAATGTTGGGAGTTTGTTGATAAGGATTGAAATCTGGGGTTTCCAGAAACCATGTTTCTCGAAAAAGTTGAGAATTGAATCAGCTCTTTCTGGAGTTTCAAAATGAATATATTTAGAACCTGATAAAGCAGAACTAAAGATAACTATTGAAACTAGATACATGTAACTAAGGGTGAGCAAGACCGGAGAATCTAGTGATACAAAATCATGCATCAAAATATCATGCTTTCTTCAAGAGACAAAGAACAACAGGAAAACAAAAATTGTGGGAAGCCAACTACTTGGATTTTACAATGTGAGGACTTTTACAGATAATGCATCCATGTTTCTACACAATGATCGTTTTGCCTTTTCTGAAGGATTCAACTCCTCTTGGTACAACTTCAATAACTGGGGAGCTTCATCATAAGAATTCACAGATTTGTACTGGAAGGTGTTGTCAGGCTACTCAAAATACAAATCAAACTATTTATCTTATTGATCAAACCTTTCGATAACAGAAACCGAATTAATGCAACCGTTGGTATAAGCCTCTTCTCCAAGCTCATTGTAATAAGTATTGGGCGTTCTGGGATAATGGAAGAATCTCAACCCATCTTGTTCACAAAAAGTCCATTGTCGCCGTAATCTTATCCACAGATGCCATCAAACACCATGGATACTTTGTAAATGCTGCTAAAAACTCTTTCAAACCAACCCCATGTCTTATAAACATCAAGTTTCCTTTCCCACAGCGACTTGCTCATTATTCTCTTCGTTACAATGGCTAGAACAAATTGTATCTTCAAAGCACTGATACGGTGATGCCCATTTCCTTGACTTCCTTCACAATTTCTTTAAACACTGTTATGCCTTAAAAGTCACGCTTATGTCAGCCCAATAAATGTCTTTCTGTACTAGCTGCCTGAAAGAACTGGAATAAATCTGGTTTTGCTTACCAAAGAAGAGTGTAAACTCATGTATATATATTTAGAATTGTTACAAGAGATAAGAGTTTCAAGAGATAAGATTTACACAAGATTTAAAATATAAACAGAAGATTATGCCAACCCAACATCCTCAACATTTGAACGTGTAGTTTGAACATTGTGGTCCTTATCCTTATCATTCCCCCACAAACTAGCAGGGAGATCCATCACTGAGAGTTTGTCTCTGAGGAAACATAACCTATCAGCCATATGACCCTTGGTAAAAATATCTGTAGGTTGCAATGAAGAAGGGACATGGTGTAGGATTATGTCTCGGTTTGCCACCTTTTCTCGGACAAAATGGTAATCCACTTCAATATGCTTGGATCTGGCATGGAAAATTGGATTAGAGGCAAGAGCTAGAGCACTGACATTATCACACCAAACAATGGGAGCCAAGTCAATTGAAATTTGCAGCTCACACAAGAGCATGCGTAGCCAATATACCTCAGCCGTGACAAGAGCTAAGCAGCAATATTCCGCCTCCGTACTAGATTTAGAGACAACAGGTTGCTTCTTGGCAGACCAAGAGATGAGGTTAAGACCCACATAAACACCATAACCACACGTTGAGCGTCTGTTGTCAGGGTCTCCAGCCTAATCAGAATCACAGTAGGCATTAATAGAGAAGGAACCTGGCTTGTAGAGCATGCCAAAGTCAAGTGTCTGTTTCAAGTACCTTAACACTCGTTTGGTTGCTGTCCAATGTAAAGAAGTGGGAGCTTGCATGTGTTGACAAAGCTGGTTTACAGAATATGCATATCGAGGTGTGTAAGGGTGACATACTGCAAAGCACTTACAGTTTGGTGATATTCAGCCGAATCCAGAAGAAGATCTCCATCAAACTTAGACAGTTTGGAGCCCGAGACACAAGGAGCTCGGTAGGGCCGGATTCCCAGGAGTTTCACACGTTCTAACAAATCAATGATATACCTTGTTTGGCGAAGGTGCAAACCAAAAGAATTGTGTGTGGCTTCAATACCTAGAAAATAAGTCAACTGGCCGAGATCCTTCATAGCAAACTCAAGTTGCAGGGTAGAGATAAGAGATGTAATGAAGTCCAGAACATTGGAAGTGACAAGAATATCATCCACATACACCAATAAAAACACATGGACGAAGTCTTGGTGATAGGTGAATAACGATGGGTCAACCTGTGAACTGTGAAAACCAAGAGAGAGCAAGACAGTTGAGAGGCGATAAAACTACGCCCGAGGAGCTTGCTTCAAGCCATAGAGAGATTTATGAAGCTTACAAACAAATTGGGAGTGCACCGGATCCTCAAAACCTTTCGGTTGGGCCATATAGACCTCTTCTTCTAAAATGTCATGGAGAAAGGCATTAGAGACTTCCAGTTGCTGAATATCCCAGTTGAAAGAAACTGCAAGTGAAAGAACCATACGGACAGTAGAAGGTTTGATGACCGGGCTAAACGTGTCATGAAAATCAACCCCACTGCGTTGGAGATAATCAACCGCTACTAACCTGGCCTTGTAACGGTCAATGCTGCCATCGGGTCTATGTTTGAGTTTAAAAACCCATTTGCAAGGCACCACATTTTTACCAGGAGGACGACGGCACAACAACCACGTTTCATTCTTCAAGGGTGCCTAAAATTCACTCTCCATTGCTGCATGCCACTCAGGTATAGGTGCCGCTTGAGCATAGGTACAAGGCTCAGATATGCCGAAAATGGTCCATCACTCTCATAATCTTATCCACAGATGTAGTCATACACCAAGGACTCTTTCAAAATCTTATAAGAATCTCTTCCTCAGACCAACCCCACCTCTTATACACATCAATCTTCTTATCCCATTCAGATTTGGGAAGTAACAACATTATAGCAATAACAATAACAAACTGTGATCTTATAGGATTGATGCCCATTTCCTTTACCAAGTCCACAATCTCTTCAAAACGACTACACTGATATGTACAAATGAGAGACCATTTAGCAAGTAACATAACAATATTAGATTCGGGTACACCATTATCTCGCAAATAATTGACTTTAGGTGAAATCAAAATTTTGAGGTCACGAAGATCAATTACTGGAGAAGTTTTAATAGAAGTAATTGCCTTTTCACCAGATTGAAGCAGGTTATTATGGTAATTAATGGAAGGGATTATATGATTTTTCAAGCTCCTTTGTAAGACGGTCGCCCACATAAAAATTTTGCAAGATAAGGACTTGGTAAGCCTTCGGAGTGAAAAAACTGAAGTTTTGGCAAAACGGTTTCCTCAGGATTCGCCAAAAGCAGTTTGGGAGTTTTCTGATGAGATTTCAGATTTCGGTTTCTGAGAAGCGACTGTTCTTGAACAAGGTGAGCACTAAGACTGGGTTTTCTGGAGTTTCAAATTGCAAACATTTGGAAGCCTTTAATGCAGATTCTGGAGAAAACCCACATGAATTAACGAGGTATGAGAAAAGATTGCTCAACAATTATTAACTTAGAAAATAAGTTGTATCAGAGCAGTAAGAGGACTAAGCAAGGCCTAATATTCCAGTATGATAGATGATTTAGCGTCTTAAAAGCTACACTGCTGAGCAAATTTTTTACCTGAAGAGGCAAACATGAAAGAAATTGAAAATAAACCATAAGTAGTCTGGACCAAATTTCTTTCTAAATAGCAGATCAAGTACTACAGAGAAAGAGCAACACTTTTGATTTTGATGTAAACACGTTATAATTGCATTCTATCTCTCTATTGTAATCAGTTTATCTTCTTTGAAAGATCCAGCTTCTCCTTGTACAGCTTCATTAGCCTGGGAGCTTCATCACAACAATTCACAAACTTCTGCAAGAAGGTCTTTTCACATTGCTTAAACGGTGTAGCGGAAAGCAGTTTATTCTTAGGCAAACCTTTGGTTAACAGATACTGGAGAACTGAAGCACGAGGAATAATTCTCTTCTCCAGGCTTAATGAAAAAAGAATTGGCCGCTGGGCAATGGCAGAAGGCTCCCAATCCATTTTGTTCACAAAAATGTCCATCACCGCCATTATCTTATCCTCGGATGTCATCATACACCAAGGATGCTTCTGAAATGCAGCAAGAATCTCTTCCTCAGACCAATGCAACCTCTTGTAAACATCGACCTTCTTATCCCACTCGGATTTGGACATCAAGGACATTATAACAATAGCTGGGACAAACTGTGACCTTAAAGGATCCATACCCATTTTCTTCAATAAGTCCACAGTCTCATCAAAACGACGAGAATATTTTATTAATACAACAGGCCATTTATAAAGTAACCTAGCAATCTGTGTTTCAGGAACACCAATATCTCGCAAAACTTTGAATTTAGGCGCAACAAAAATTTGAAGATCACAACAAACAATAAAAGGAACTCGTTTAATTAAAGAAATAACCTTTTCAGCAGATTGAATCAAGTTACTAAGGTAAGTAAAGGAAGGGATTATACGGTTGTTTAAGCTACTTTGCAAGATACTAGGGCACCGACTAAAGCAGTGGCAATATCAGTACTTAAGAAGCCTTTGGAGTGAAAGAACTCAAGTTTGGGCAGAAGGCTTCGCTCAGGATTGGACAAAAGCAGTGATGGGCGTCTTCTGATTAGGTCAGAGATTTGGGTTTCTGAGAATCCACTGTTCTTGAACAATGTGAGGACTAAGTCAGCTTTTTCTGGGGTTTCCAATTGCAATTTTTTGGATGTTTTTAAAGCAGATTCCGGCGACAACCCACATGAATTAATGAGGTAAGAGACAGTAAAAGATTGCTCATTTGAGTTGGTTGAGGTGTATTTGACAAATATTGGATTAAAAAAATCTTGAAATCTATGGTTTAGTGAAGCACTAACAGTGTATCTTCCATGGCTGTGAACTAAAGTTCTGCGAAGAAAACTAAGCGCCATGATTGCAAAAATAATAGAATACACTTACCTATGACCTTATGCTCCAGAGTCCAGACATCTCCTTCAGAAAGCTACCATATTTCAGAAATCCGTTTAAGTTGAACAGGGGGAAGAAACTGAAACTAAAACCCTCGACTATTATGCAGCGGGCCGGCAAAACGTCGTTGAGAAGAAACAAAATTTAATTATTAAAGCCCAAAGCTCAACCGACCTCTGCACTATTGGGCTTCGTCTGTAGTTATTAGAAACATCTTAAAGACGTTCAAGTTCCAACAATTTGATTGCGTATGAAAATGTAACGTCTTTTTAATACATTTTGACCATTGAGATGATTCATTACAAAAGGTATTTGACATGAAAGCTTCTCAAAATTCAATCTAAATCAATGAAATCAATTAATCTTGTTTTTTGGTCCATTAGGATACTGTTATTGGAAGTTTATAACCTTAATCTTACTCATAATTGTTAATTCATTTAACAGATTGAAAAAAATGAGTAATATTATGTTCACACTCAATTTAACAACTTTCCCTTACAATTCCAACGTGACAATTGAGTTGATAACTGTCACGTTAATTTCCATCACACTAAATAGCTTTGATTAAATACAAATGGTTTGTTTCTTAAAGACAAACGATAGTTCCTTCATAAAGAACAACCATTCCTTATGAATGAATAGTCATTTCTTCATAAAGAATAGTTGTTCCTTATGAACGGAACAGTCATTCCTTATAAATGAATGGTCGTTCGTCTTTAAAGAATGGTGATGCATGTTTAGTTAAAGTTGTTAGTTGATATGGTAGTGTCAACTTAACTGTCACATTAGGATTATAAGATGTTGATGCTTTATTTTGACACCAACTACTTATAAGTGTAAAATGCTAAAAAGACTTAAAAGTCACATGTGATATGAGGGGACTAAATTAAATAAAAGGTGAAAAGTAATATTTAAAGTGATTCGGATGCTCAAAAGCGAATCCTACGTCGACTACTATTATATTAATAAGAGAGAGAGAGGTTAGGTCGTGTTCAGCGAGTTGAGTTACAGTTTAGAAAGAGAATACAAGAGAGAGAGAGAGAGAGAAAGCTATTTTAGAGTAAAATTAGCTAGTCCTCCACAAATGAGAGGAAAATCCTCTATTTATAGTGGGAAAGTTCAAGGTAATGATTATAAAAGTTGCAAGTGAGTAGGTGCCATGCAAATCCTTTCTTTGCGTCCCATTGGTTACCTGTCTGAGAGATTTCCTCGACTAAGCAGGTCTTTGACACGTGGGTGATCTCCAGCCACTTGTTAGCCTGGCGCTCACCTGTTATACCGACAGGAGTCAAACCACTTGCGCTAGACGCGACGTAACCGTACTTGGATGATACAGGATCCTTTTGAGCTCTGAACATTTTTTACTAATGAAACTCTACGTCAGCCCTACTTTTTCAGGCATAACATAAGAGAAAATTGTACAATTGAATTATAATCATAGTATTTTTGAAAAAAGATTCACAAGATTGCCCCATATGATATGAGCATTAGAGGGAATGCGCCATTACCATATCCAGCTCAAACTCCAGATCCCAAAAATTGATGTCAATTAGTAGATGAGATACATACATACATATATACGTACATATTTAATACATTTTAAATTTTTAACAGCGCAATATATATTAAATTAGAAGGTACACCTAGCTTTAATTAATTGTAAATGCCTAAAATAAAAACAAAATCAATACATGGTAATAATGTGAAGAGATTATTGTACTGGCAAGAGGGAACCATATTCAAAAGATCCGAAACCCATCACCATAATCACCTCGCCGACATTGGTCGATTAGATACGGTTACTTTACTACACTCCAAGACCAACCAAATCTTCTAAACCTTACATGTGGCCAAAACTTGTCCAAGTCGAAACAAAACCACTTTTCACCTGCTTACCGGCTGCTTCCGTACCTTCTTTCCCCATCACTCCCATTCCTCAACCGCCTACTTCCGGTCACTTCTTTTTACCTTCTTGTACTTTTTTTTTAATAATTTATAGACTTGTAACCTACCCCGCACCAAGTCATTCCTCCATTTAGTCCTCCAAATGCTGACATTTAAGACATCTCGGACGTCCGTTTCTTGGTAATTTACATCTCAGCCGTTGGTTACCACAACGGAATGCAACTGAAACAACCTTCACATGATGTTTACAAGCTCCATTTGTCTTTAACAAACTTTAAAAGTCTAATGCTTCCCCCACGCGCTACTTTGTCGCTTTTTCGTATTTCTCTTTGAGAAATTAGTAAAAAAGTTTTTTTGGTTAATTAATAAAAGTATTTTGTTTTATAAATATTATATTAATTCCTTAATTTTAACAAAAAAATTAAAAAATATTATGTAATTGGTATGTTTACTATTTGAGTTAATTAATGTGAAGTTTATTTACTTTTAAAACTATTAAAATTTACTATGAAAATTCTTGAATTTTCAAAGACATTTTTTATCAAATAATTTTTTTTATGAATTATAAAACAAATTTTTATCTATATTTATGCTTAAAGTTATAAATATAATATAAACGATGCTATTTTTTTCTTAAAGAGTATTTTCAATTTTCAAAAGCTATACATGATTTAGAAAATTGACCATAAAAATATTCTTCAAAATAATAAATATCAAATTTTAAAGAGAAAAATACTCTTAAGTATTTTACTAAAAAAAGATTTATGATAAATTTTAATAAAAGGTTTTCATTTATTTTAGGAATTCAAGATATATTTTTAATGCTTTTCAGACCTTGACTTTACTTCAGATTTAAATAAAATTAAAAAGAAAATAGATTCAAAAAATTATTCATGAATATTAAATAAATAAATAAATAAAATCTTTAAACACAAAACGCCATACATTAATAATTTGAAAAAGGATACTGGATTTGCTTGGTTGTAGTTCACGGTCAAAGTAGGAGCGTGGGGAGGAAATTAGTGTGGGTAAAGCTGTTGAGGTAAGAAAGAATACTGTAGCTTTCGTTATAGGTTGTACGTGGCATCAGATGGTTGGCCCATGGAAAAAGTATAATGCCCCTGAATGTTTTTGTCCAATCTCCTAAAGCTTGCATTCCAAGTTAAAATTAATAAATGCAAGATATACCAAATATGTCCATACCATTAAATATATATAAGACCAAGGACAACAGATGACCCACGACCAGGAATGGAAGCAGTGCCAACTATTTATTTATTTATTTATTTTTATTTTTTTATCAGAAATGTCTAAATTAATTTATGTATATTATAATTAATCTTTCGATTTTAAATAAGGTTTTCAAAATATGATAAATCTTATAATTCGTAAGTTCACGGTCTATAATCAACAATATTAACAATTTTTCTTATGATTCGAATTTAAAACCATAGGTCTAAAAGTAAAGCAAACCCATTAAACCCAAACCTTAACCTCTCGAACCATCATAGTTGGTTGACATTTGACAACTATGTTATTTATTAACTCAACAAAAGTCAAATTTTTTCATTATATATAATATTATTAATTCCATTAAATAAATTAAAACTTTTTTCTAGAATAGTGTGATGTATACAAGTTGACGCTTAATGACTTTTTGTTTGACATATCATCCATCCAAGTTGGCTTTTTTCAATACATTTATAATTATTAATTTACTTTAACTAAACCCCTTTATGAATAAAATGGTTTATAACAAATTTAACTATATTCTTGATAACAATAAGTCAAACAACGAAAAAAGTCAATAACGAAATTGAAGTAAAAAAATTAACATGTAAATCTGAAAATTATTAGTATGTTTGACAAAGGAATTTAAGATAGAGAATCATTATAAATTTAGGAGACAAATCCTATATAAAATTATATATACTTAACTACTTCTAGATGGTCGAGTGGTTCAATAATAACTCTTGGATGTATTACTCAATAAGTCTTGAGTTCGATTCTCTTATCAGATGCTATTAGAGATAGTTATTAGAACTCTTATGCGGTTGGTAGTTTCAGAGTATTAGAAAATTAATTGAAATACGTATAAATTGATTCAGACACTCTCGATCATTAAAAAAAAAACAAAAAAAAAACAAAAAGAAGTTATATATACCTTTAGAAGTTTGACTATTTTATTTTAGGCTTCTATTTATTTATAAAATGTTAACGTCAATTTGTATATTTATTTTAGTAAATTATGCAAAAAAATGTTTCTAAATTATGGTACACTTTGCACCTTTTACCACTTTTAAGGAAGATTCTCCTATGATGCCACGTAGCGCTAACCTTCACTTATCTATTCACTTCACCTTCAGCCTCTTCTGCACTGCATCTGTACCTGCAGCAGCAGGCAGCAGCCACTCTATGACTATTTAATTAAACTTTAAATCCCTATCATTACCTTTTCGTAAATAACCCCTTAACTCAAGGACAATTTCTTGCCATACTCAATCATCCAATCACATGCTTCAGTCGAAGGACAATTCCGTCATTCTAAAAATTCCCCGCACACTGTACCCGGTAGTTTCACGTCTATTTGGCGCGTACATAAACCAACACTTTCACAACCCCACAAAAAAAAAAAAAATTAAAAATTAAAAAATAATAAATAAAAAAAATTATTATATAAAAAACACACACAGAAATAAAGATCATCAAACAACAACTACTACTACAACAACAACAATCGCTTTGAAAAACTGAAACAGAAGAGGGAGTGTTGTGTTGAATCTTGCAAGTGAAAGTAGAGAGAGAAAATCCGAAGACCCAAAACCAAAGAGAAACATAAAAACTGTTTTGTGTGTTGTGCTGTGTAGTGTTTGTGTAGAGTAAAGAAGCAAAATAGGAAACACGCACATACACAAGCACAAACACAAACACAAAATACACAACCAAACAGTCCTCTCGGATTCGATCGGGGTCTCTCATTGTAATTTGTACATACATTCGGAATTCTCTTCTCCGGTTATCTATCTGCTTGGTCCGGTTCGGCGTCCGTACACCTTATGGAGCGGTACGGTCGGGTCAGTGAAGGTTCACAGTCCGATCCGTCACCTGAATGGACCGCTCCGGGAACCGAGACCGCACTCGAAGGTATCTTATATTTACAATCGTATTTATTATTTCATATCCGCATTTCAATTTTGTTATTATGATTAAATGCGAATGCGATTCTGTTTTATGTGATCTTGAGTTTTGCTTTCTTTTGTGGAAATGTGTTAGAGCCTATGTGGCAATTGGGATTCGGAGTCGGTCCGGAGTCGTACCCGGAGCGGCCTGACGAGGCCGATTGTATCCACTACTTGAGGACCGGGTATTGCGGTTACGGGTCGAGGTGTCGGTTCAATCATCCACGTGACCGGGGCGGGGTAATTTTATTATTAGTTCTCTTCTTCTTTCTTAGGGTTTAATAAGTAGTAGGGTTTTGATTGATTTTATAATGTGTTATTGACCGTCCATTCTGCTTTGATCTTGTCAAATATGATAAGTTTGATTGCATTTTGTGTATTGAAGTTGCATGATCGAATTTATGATGATTGGAATTTGATCTGATGGTGACCTGTTTAGTTGATATGTGATTTGTTTTGTTCATCAGTGATTCAGAAACTGATGATTATTGGTTTTGGTAGGCTATGGGAGCTGCAAGAGCCGGTGCAGGAGAGTATCCAGAGCGAGTGGGCCAGCCCTTGTGTCAGGTACTGAATTGGTTCTTGTGGGGATGGTTGATTACAGACAATGTATATTGGTTTGATTCTTTTCATAGAAAGTATGTTCCCTTCATTTATGTGCTATGTGATTAGAGTTGGAATAATTCTATTTCCACCTCAATTTGCCACACAAATTTACTTTCTCATGAAGTTTGGTTGAAAATAATACAGCACATGCTGTGTGATCGTGACACATGTCCTGTCTTCCTATTTTGTAATTTACATTTGACATTCTCCTTTACATTGAGATGGTCAGAGAGTTATACAATTCAGTATTTTTTTCAACTGCTGTTTGATTATTTGAGGTGCATTGGTACATGGTAGTATTATTTAGTGAAGCAATTTTCTGATGGAGTAGTCAAGGGTTGGGTCACGGTTTCAGTTACTGCCCTTTTTTTCTGTTCGACAATTTGACAAAGTTGTGAGTATCCTTCTTAATTGATTTCTGTTGTTTTTACTCAATTTGCAGTATTATATGAGGACTGGGACATGTAAATTTGGTGCATCGTGTAAATACCACCATCCTAGACAGGGAGCCGGTTCTGTTACTCATGTGTCACTAAATTATTATGGTTACCCTTTACGTCTGGTTTGTAGATTTTTTCATTGATATTTAATTTTTCCAAACTTCTATCATTTCAGAAATATATTTCATTAAAGTGGAGTTTTTTATTAACAGGGTGAAAAAGAGTGTTCCTACTATATGAAAACTGGGCAATGTAAGTTTGGTCCAACATGTAAATTCCATCATCCACAGCCAGCTGGCGTTCAAGTTGCACCACCATCGCCAGCACCGCAAGTGCCTACTCCAGTACCTGCACCTACAGTATATCCACCTGTGCAATCGCCATCAGCTCAACAATATGGGGTTATGGTTGCAAGGCCTCCTCTGTTGCCAAGCTCATATGTGCAAGGCCCTTATGGTCCTATGCTGGTTTCCCCAGGCATGGTTCCCTATCAAAGTTGGAGTCCTTACCCGGTAGGCAGATGCGAAGCATCCTTCTTCCATCTTCTGCATCATGTTATCTATACAATCTATCTTAAGTTGTTACTGCCTCTTGGTGCAGACACATGTGAACCCAGTTGCCTCTCCTGGCAGTCAACCCCCTGCTGGATCAAGCTCAATTTATGGGATGAAAACACTCTCTGCTTCAGCACCTGCCTATACTGGAGCTTATCAAACAACACCTTCTACAGTTGGTCCTTCAAGCAGTAGCCAGAAGGAGCAATCATTTCCAGAGAGACCTGGCCAGCCAGAATGTCAATATTACATGAAAACTGGGGAGTGTAAATTTGGATCCTCATGTAAATATCATCATCCTCGAGAAATGACTGTATCAAAAACCGATGTCAACCTCAGCCCCATGGGTCTTCCTTTACGTCCAGTAAGCACCCTTCCACAACTCCTTTGCATATCATGCTTTAACTTGATAAATGGGTGGTCCTTAAAGTAGTGCTATCAAGCCTGTGTCTATGTGTTTTAGATCTTTGCTGCCTGCCAGAGCATATGATTTAAATACCCTGCCTAGCCCAGACTTTATCTGTCTCAAAAACTCAAGCTTGGTTCTAATTTTCTAGATCAAGGTTTTTAACATCTCAGAATTTTTCCTTTCATGAATTATTTTTCATACCTGCTTATTCTCATTTCTGTGTGTTGACGATTACTACATATACATATATATGAACCATCTTTTTCAGAAAATAAAACATGTTTTTCATTATAGTGTTGTAATGTTCTCATAAGAAAGAAACATTTATGTCATTGTTCTTTAAGTCCTTCAGTCTGTTGAAAGTTTCCTTGAACACAAGGTTTTTTTGTTGTGCTAAACTTAGAGTTCATGTAAGCATGTGCAAGCACAAAGCTATGGCAGTAATTGATTGATTTTTATTTCTTCTTGGTTTTGCTTAAGAGTTCACTGTGAGTTTCTTGAATAATGGAAATTTAGAATTGGTTAAAAGAGACTGGCTTCTACCGTTTACATGGGAAGTCGAAGGACAAATCGACAGGACTTATTGGATTGAAAGATTGTTACATGGGAAATGATATAACAAGTTATTTAAAATTTTTGTTCCGTGCTGTTTCTGGAAGACACCTTAGCCAGACAATTTTTTGTGGTTTCCTTTTTATCATGATTAGGCGTATATCCTTGATCCAACTCCTTCTAGGTTATGGAGATTATGCTTTTGAGATTTGTAGTGTTTAGAGTCATCTCTGGACTCTGGAATCTGGCCTCAAAGTTGAACAAGCATAATAAACTCGTGATGGTGGGTATACGTGGCATAGGTGACATGTGTCTGGTCTAGAAGTTTGGAACCTCTTTTTTTTTTTTTTTTTTTTTTTAATCTCGTTACTTGTCCTTCTCCTCCAATTGGAGTAAGGTACAATATGGCAAGGCTTAAATACTCATTTTGATATGTCTTATTTTTGGGTGAGTTCTATTAATGAAGCGAACCCTTCAGTTTCAGAAAAAGTTGAGTATACTTATTTTTCTTTCAGTTTTAGAGATTGGAATTCTGTAGTGGCTTAAGTTTATGCTCTATTGTGTGGGTTTCAGTTTTGTTTTATGGACTTCTGGTTCCCTATTTTTGTATATTTCTTTTTATTCATTTGTCAAGTTCTATGTTTCCTATCAGAGTAATAATAATGTAAACTCTCTGGAAAACCTTTTGCCTTCTGCTGTTTTCTGATATTGGCCCAGTCGTTAGAGTAAATCAAAGGATTTTAAGGTGGTCTGGATTAACGTTTTTAATACCACCATTTTTGATGCCTTAAATGTTACATATTCTTCTTCAAGTTTGCTCACAATATGCTTACTAACTTTGTTTTCCCGGTTTGGATCATGAATCTAATTAGATACTTATGAGTAGTAGGCTCAGCAAACACTTATTCGGCATGAAATATGTGCACTCATTCTTGAGTCAAAACAAATATGAGCCTGTTGCCTTTGCTTGCGAGCCTAATATATGAAATATCCTTGTGATGATTGACAATTTTATTATGAATTAGATTTAATTGCATATACTTATCATCATAAGTGTGAACTTTTTTCTTTTTCTGTTTAGCAATTTATCATCTTTGACAATTTTACTTTCTCTAGTTTTTTTTATAGATACCATGCGCGTGCACAGTACAGCTTTTACATGTGTATTAAAGTCTTATAGTTATCTACGAGCACAAAGGTGAATTGTAAAATTGTAGTAAATAGGGACAAAAGTTGGCACCCTAATTTTCTGCAGTAATTTTTGAAGATATTTGAATTGATGCTATATTTAATAGAAAAGAAACATTGGGAATATACTACGTGGAATGAGAATTATGAAATTCTTGATATTGGTATGTTAACCTATGATACATGTAAATGAATATTGGGAGTTGATGGTCAAATTAGTTCACAGTAATATTTTCACCTTTGGATATTGAATCTGGTTCCCACTATGTTATTTCTCTTGTACTCTTGACCTGGAGTTAGCTCCTGCAAGAAAGATGTCTCATCTTCCTTCCGCTCTTCATGCTCGGGATATCCAACATATCCAGGTGAGGGCCAAGGTTGAGCAATTAATTGTTAATATTAATAAGGTTGCTGTCTTATTCTGTTCCACATAAGTAACACCAAAATATTTTCACTTAAAATGTTCAACTACTCATTCTTGTCAATGAGTTGCACGGAATAAACATCTTTGCAACTGCGAAATTTAACAAGTGTTTTAGGTTGTAATTGAAGGCTATATTGTGGGATGTTAGGATGTCTAATAAATCCATAGATTTGAGAAATCATCATGAAATAACATAAGATTCAGTGACTGAAATTTTTTGAGTGATCTTTTAACTGAGCCTAGTATCCTCTGTTTTGGGTTGGTTCACAGGTCCAGGCATGTCTGCTGTTACTGTCATCTTATTGGTTATATCTAAGTTAATTCCTACTTTAGATTCATCATTCACATTCATCGTGGTGTCTCCCATGCACAGAATATATCATCTGTTCATTTCTTTGTCATTCATTAGTGATGCAGAATAGATTAGTTCTTTTGTCTGGCCCTATTTATTTTAGGGGCATGCGTTTTGTTTTCTATGTTTACAGCTTTCTGAAATGTGATGAGTTAAAATGTTGACACATTAAATATAGTTTTGTTTTTGTTACTCGTGTTGCTTACTGGGAACAATAGATTTAAGTTTAGATGATTTTATGGTGCATATATTGGGGAGATTGAGCGGGTACTAATTCTTATGGACTGGTGGAAAGCTGTCAAGCCATAACGTTCTAATATCCCACCATGTGCTCTTTAGGATCTTCTATTCTCATATGTGGTTTTGGTGTGATTGATGTTTGTCATATGTTTTTCGCTCACTTGAAGAAAAAATACTGTGGGTCTTACTCACTTTTCTTTATGAGGTTGCTCTGGTTCTACTATCTATTCATTCCTAATTTTGTTCTTCTTACTACTTGTCTGCTTTCGAATCACCATTTATCTGTGGTTACTATTTGATTTCATTTCTCATGATAGTCCACTTTGAAGCTGATTTCTTCTTCTCTATCTATTGAGCTCTCTTTCTATCATCAAACTCATCCTTGATTTCTGTCCGTTGTGTATGGTAAACAACGAAAGTTAAATGTTTTTGGTGCTTCTGGATATGCAAACATATAGACAATTGTCTCATAGCAGATCATGACATATTTGTTGAAGCATGCTATCTGAAGTTTATTAATGCTAAAAGTTTCTTTATTCTATTAAAGCTTGTTGTTACTTGTCATTGAGGATAGTGATTAGAGGACCTATATAACTTCAGCATTTCTATGTCTTTCAGAAAGATTTTTTCTTTTTCACCCTTTTTGTGCTTTAAAATTCTGTTTTTACTCCTTTCTATCAAAAAAACTTGTATTTTTTCTTGATCATATTTACCTTATAATTTGCTTGTGCTGTCATTTGTCTATGTGGGTTTTCAAAACTACAGTCATTCATAAATCAATTGATATGTTTCTCTTTTTCAATATACTAGTGATCATGCATCTGGTGTACTATATTTGCGATCAAGATAAAGTTGTTATGTGTCTGATATTTCTTTCTTTTCTCTCTCTATCTTTTTTGTTTTTGTTTTTCCTCACTCTCTATTTTTCTTTTCCCTCTGATTATTAGGGTGCCCCTCTTTGCACTCATTATACACAACGTGGAGTATGCAAGTTTGGGACTGCATGCAAATTTGATCATCCAATGGGAACACTAAGCTACAGTCCATCTGCATCTTCTCTAGCTGATATGCCGGTTGCACCCTACCCTGTGGGCTCTTCAATTGGTANGTGGAATGAGAATTATGAAATTCTTGATATTGGTATGTTAACCTATGATACATGTAAATGAATATTGGGAGTTGATGGTCAAATTAATTCACAGTAAGATTTTCACGTTTGGATATTGAATCTGGTTCCCACTATGTTATTTCTCTTGTACTCTTGACCTGGAGTTAGCTCCTGCAAGAAAGATGTCTCATCTTCCTTCCGCTCTTCATGCTCGGGATATCCAACATATCCAGGTGAGGGCCAAGGTTGAGCAATTAATTGTTAATATTAATAAGGTTGCTGTCTTATTCTGTTCCACATAAGTAACACCAAAATATTTTCACTTAAAATGTTCAACTACTCATTCTTGTCAATGAGTTGCACGGAATAAACATCTTTGCAACTGCGAAATTTAACAAGTGTTTTAGGTTGTAATTGAAGGCTATATTGTGGGATGTTAGGATGTCTAATAAATCCATAGATTTGAGAAATCATCATGAAATAACATAAGATTCAGTGACTGAAATTTTTTGAGTGATCTTTTAACTGAGCCTAGTATCCTCTGTTTTGGGTTGGTTCACAGGTCCAGGCATGTCTGCTGTTACTGTCATCTTATTGGTTATATCTAAGTTAATTCCTACTTTAGATTCATCATTCACATTCATCGTGGTGTCTCCCATGCACAGAATATATCATCTGTTCATTTCTTTGTCATTCATTAGTGATGCAGAATAGATTAGTTCTTTTGTCTGGCCCTATTTATTTTAGGGGCATGCGTTTTGTTTTCTATGTTTACAGCTTTCTGAAATGTGATGAGTTAAAATGTTGACACATTAAATATAGTTTTGTTTTTGTTACTCGTGTTGCTTACTGGGAACAATAGATTTAAGTTTAGATGATTTTATGGTGCATATATTGGGGAGATTGAGCGGGTACTAATTCTTATGGACTGGTGGAAAGCTGTCAAGCCATAACGTTCTAATATCCCACCATGTGCTCTTTAGGATCTTCTATTCTCATATGTGGTTTTGGTGTGATTGATGTTTGTCATATGTTTTTCGCTCACTTGAAGAAAAAATACTGTGGGTCTTACTCACTTTTCTTTATGAGGTTGCTCTGGTTCTACTATCTATTCATTCCTAATTTTGTTCTTCTTACTACTTGTCTGCTTTCGAATCACCATTTATCTGTGGTTACTATTTGATTTCATTTCTCATGATAGTCCACTTTGAAGCTGATTTCTTCTTCTCTATCTATTGAGCTCTCTTTCTATCATCAAACTCATCCTTGATTTCTGTCCGTTGTGTATGGTAAACAACGAAAGTTAAATGTTTTTGGTGCTTCTGGATATGCAAACATATAGACAATTGTCTCATAGCAGATCATGACATATTTGTTGAAGCATGCTATCTGAAGTTTATTAATGCTAAAAGTTTCTTTATTCTATTAAAGCTTGTTGTTACTTGTCATTGAGGATAGTGATTAGAGGACCTATATAACTTCAGCATTTCTATGTCTTTCAGAAAGATTTTTTCTTTTTCACCCTTTTTGTGCTTTAAAATTCTGTTTTTACTCCTTTCTATCAAAAAAACTTGTATTTTTTCTTGATCATATTTACCTTATAATTTGCTTGTGCTGTCATTTGTCTATGTGGGTTTTCAAAACTACAGTCATTCATAAATCAATTGATATGTTTCTCTTTTTCAATATACTAGTGATCATGCATCTGGTGTACTATATTTGCGATCAAGATAAAGTTGTTATGTGTCTGATATTTCTTTCTTTTCTCTCTCTCTCTTTTTTGTTTTTGTTTTTCCTCCCTCTCTATTTTTCTTTTCCCTCTGATTATTAGGGTGCCCCTCTTTGCACTCATTATACACAACGTGGAGTATGCAAGTTTGGGACTGCATGCAAATTTGATCATCCAATGGGAACACTAAGCTACAGTCCATCTGCATCTTCTCTAGCTGATATGCCGGTTGCACCCTACCCTGTGGGCTCTTCAATTGGTACCCTTGCCCCATCATTCTCATCTTCAGATTTGCGGCCAGAACTTGTTTCAGGATCCAGCAAGGAGCCTGTTTCAACAAGAATGTCTTCAACAATTAGCTCAACTAGTGGACCAGTGGGTTCAATATTTTCAAAGAGTGGACCCATTCCTCATTCAAGCACACAACAATCTGGGCAGAGTTCTGTTTCTTCAACTGCTGGCAGCAGCAGCAGCACTGAGACTCAGACATCAACCTAAGCAAGAAGAAAGGCTCTTCTTCATTCCTCTTTTTGATCAAATTCATGAACCAAAATCTTATTTTTTCTGCAAGTCGTCAAAATAGGAGGCTTCATTTCTCTGTTACAGTTTCACAACTCAGGTCTAGCCCTCATCAGCTCTGATCATCTCTGTGTTCATATAATCTTTTATATGGCCATCCCTTTTTATCTTGAATAAGCCATGGCCAAACCTCAGGACTTAAGCAAAACTCGTATAGCCTTTTACACCTTGCTTTTGAATAACCAAGAAAGAATCTTCTGTTCCATTAGGGAAATCTGTGTTTACCCCTCCAATTTTTGGAGTCGTGTTTATTTATGCTCCAACCTTTTTCGGAACGCAAAAGATCCGACCCACAGTATTCTTCCTTTTACATCAATCAGTGTGTTGAAGCTATCTTTTTGTAGATTTTCTTTTTAAGTTCGGGAACAAGCTTCCAATTCAGCATTGAAAGGAATTTGAAGGTATTCTTGTTCCCCCACTTTTTTGTCTGGGGTTTATTGTTAAAAAAAAAATAATAATAATAATAAGTAAAAAAAAAATAGAGAATTAAAGAGACTTAAAGGAAGCATTACCATGCTACCTTATATGGGATTTAGATGCATAGTTGTTTTGAACAATTGAAATGCAAGACATGGCTATTGATAAATTTATTATCTATTACTTCCTGTGGCCCTTTAGTTTTCATGTTGAATTTAGATTGACTGAGACCACGACATCTATTCATCCATAGGGTTCTAGTTTAATTTTCGACTGGTGATGTACTTGCATGCATGAATGTGCAATTCTCCTATGGCAAATAGTTGATTTATGTGGTAAAGGGTTTCCTCCCCTTTTTTTTTCTATATATTTCCAAGATCCTGTTACATGAATTATTTTGGTGTGTTCATATCTGAGCTTGTTATAAATCTTCGATGATGGAAGGATAGTTGGATAGTGGAGTTGACATTGACAGAGAAAAGAAAAAGATACGATTTCGGGGAGTGGTGATTCAGTAGTTGGGAACCATACCTCGTCTTGCAAGTTGCAAATTGCAAAACAAGTACAGGGACAATAACACATCTAAATCTAACGTGATCTTTTTTACACTTTTTTTACGGCTTTAGTTTGCTCAAATACCAACTGAATATCATTACTCAATGCTCCTGTTTTAGTTTTTAGTTGCAGTGAATTTATTGAAAGAGACTTTGCCTGGATTTGCTCTTGATTCCTTTTTTTTTTTTTTGGTTAACTATTCATAGTGGACCACAAAGAACGCGTATGTTTGTATCATCGTATTGAGGCTCTTTTGTTGAATGTTGAAGTCTGCCAAAATCTTAGTTACAAGATAGTCATGGTTTTAAGTTATTTTTTACTTGGTTACTATTTATTTTGCTGCCCTTTTTCATGATTTTTTGAAATTTTTGATTGATAATACCGGTATTGTCTTTGAGTTAGTCCGACTTGATGTTATTTGTAGCTGCAAAAATTGATTGACTCGAATAAAAAGCAATAAAAGTTCATCAATACGTATTAAAACAACTATATCACAATTGAAGTAAAAAGTATGGTCTAACATAAAACCCTAGAAGCTTTCACCCATGAAAATTACCCCGAGCATGTAACCCTAGAAAGTTCTGTTTCATTCTGGATTTTAACTTTTGTTAAACCAAAAATTTTCATAGATGAAAGAAACTTAAATGATGTGATTAAACTGGAGAAGGGCTGCAAAAAATTTAATGTTCAATCGTAGCTGGTATTTACTGTGGCATGGATCTTTGGTAGATTAGGGTTGTCGAAAAAAGAGAGACAACCATGCAGCCATTATTCGAGAGTGCACAGACTATAATCACCAAATTCAGACAGACTACCTATAATCTAAAAGCTTGATGTGAGACTTCCTTCTATGACTATCAATTTATTGGCTTCAAAAAGGAGCCTTTTGAATCCAACTTCAATTAATAGCTGAACATTCCACATCTTTCTTCTTGCTCACAAGTGGAAAGTTTTTTGTGTAATTGCAGTTAAAAAGGAGAAGGAAAAAGGAACAAGTTTCGCAAGAAAAAGCCAAAGTCACTAGATAGATATATAAAGAAAGTGCATGAAAACAGGCATAAAGTAATACAATTCGATGCACTCTAATAATTAATTAATAATCACTCAAAAGAGTGAGTAGCCAAAGTCAACTACATCACCACCAAAATGAGGAACTGAAGGAGAAGCCACGGTTTGAGGCAATAACCCATAGCTAGGGTTGTCCATAATCGGATACAAACTTCCCATGCAACTAGTATCTTCCACCATTATAGGGTTGTTGTTGATGATGGCTGACAGTTCATCGCAGTTCATCATCTCCCATGACTATTGGTTATTATCACTCCAAATTCCATTATTGAGCTCACCAAAGTAAGGGAAATCTCCAGCCTCGGATGCCATTGTTGTTGGCACACTTGTGATATCTAGAGGAAGTGATCCTCCATAGTTGTTGTTACAATGTGACTGGCTATCTGTAGAACTTGAGCTCATTGACCCAAAGTTGTATTGTTCATTTGAAGCAGAACTAGAACTGCTATATTTGGAGTTTGTGGTACTAGTAGTATGATGATTTGCAGAAGGGTTCAAACAGTTATCAGGAACAATGCAGCCCAAGTAGCCAGAGTTATAAGAATCAGTAGAGAAAAGGAAACTGGAATCATCAAATGACCCACATGGAGTTTCAACACTACTAGTCTCATTCTTAGTTTTGGAAATTTCTGGCTGAGGTGGAGTGTTGTTGTGAAGAAGTGTAGGTTGTTTAGTCTGATTAGTAGTAGCATTATTTGTGAACTGTGATGATGGTGTCAAGAGAGCTTGAATATCAAAAGGTGAAAGAAGAGAAGGGAGAATAGTATTGTCAGATGAATAAATGAAGTTGGTTCTTGCTTGTGTGCCTTTCATGGAAAGTGCAGCCCTATCATAAGCAAGAGCCGCTTCTTGAGCAGTGTCAAATGTGCCAAGCCAGTGCCTTTCCTTCGTAGTAGGGTCTCTAATTTCAGCGGCATATCGACCCCAAGGTCGTCTCCTCACGCCGAGAAACCTTCCAGGCTCAGCTTGCTTTCTCCGGCCTCTCCTCTCACCAGGCTGAGAGGGGGATGTGTTACGTTGAAGAATTGTGAACCCCATTTGACCTGCAGTTTCATAAACTTGAAAAGGTTTATCAAATGTTTTTGATGCAGACATTAAGGGCTTCAAGAAGTGAAACAAAATGTGGTAAAATAAAATGGAGAGAACAGGTTTTTGGAGAAAGAAGGGTTTGATTTTGAATGGAAGTGTGAGGAAGTGTAGGGGAGAATAGGTAAGTCTTTTAAAGACTGTGATTTGAACACACACACAGAGAAGATAAAGGACAATGCAAATGTCATTCCCAACTTTTCCACCTACTTTTCTATAGAAATTAAAAAAATTAAATCTCAAAAAAAAATAGATTCTAGCTAACTACAGTACTCACTCCACCACTTTACACTTCATTTCAAACAAAATCTACAATTAGCTAAGTCTAATTACAGAACTTATGGATGAAAATGAAGATACCCTTTGTTGTGCATGCAGCTGTCAACAAAACTACCTAAATGGAGGGCTATTAATCAATCATTAGTTAATTAATTATTAATTAATTCCCTATTTACACAAACAGGGTTAATCCCATTTAGTTTCATGCAAATGTAATTTCTGTTTCGTGAACTAATAGTTAATTATTTGCAGGGTCTTCCATTAATGAGGTAATTATTGCATCAGACCATTGCAAGCAAGCATCGATCAATTAATCTAAACATTATGGGGTTCATGTGAAGAATTAGTGATTAATTAATTAAAAATATGATCAAGTCACGTGGAGATCTACCAGTATCAGCAATCAACCTGAAAAAGACACTCATATTATAGCTCCTTGAGCTATGGAGTTATTAAAATGGTTTTTATAAGTGTAATTATAAATCATAATTGCTATTGCAATACTCCTTGAGAGTCTCAAATGGGTTTGATCAATCTGATCAGCAATTAGCTAATATATTCACATGTGAATCCGCGTTTTATGCAAAATAAATCAAAGAAATTACTTGTCTGCTTCAGGGTTTTTCAAAGGGAGCAGTTAAGCTTTTATTATCTTCTTTCTAATTATAGAATTAAAATGGCTGAAAATTTTAAGATTATTCTAAGAGGGCTCTCCCGTGTTCAGAATCATGGTAACAACAAGCCAAAGAAAAGAGTCATCCCCTTTCTTCATATTGCCAATTAAGTCAAAGTTAATTTAATCTATCTTTTTGTCAGTTTATACACTTTTTTTGGTATGGCTGAGCTGTCCAAGTCAGTTTGCATGTAATTCAACTAATCTCCTAAAATCTTGGAATTATTGACAGGGTAAGAGCTCTAGTGGTCACCTTTATTATAAACTTAATTTTTTTTTTTTTTTTAATGACCGAGGGTGTTCGGGTCAGTTTGTGCGCACTTCAACTAATCATATGGAACCCTGAAAGTATCAGTTGAGTAAGAGCTTCAATAACCATCCCTATTAACAATTATGAGAACTCGAACTTGAGAGATTATGTTAGATTCTCCTTTTACTCTTTTACCATCAAAGAGATTTAAACTTAGAAGACCATATTTGATCATCTTTTACTCTTTTACCACCATGGTTTATACACTTAATTTCCCACGTTTATTTTTACCATTTAATGTCTCTAATCAATATCTGATTTTACCTTTCTTGTAGAATTTGATTCAAGTAGTTGAATTGACTGCCGTCTCTTTATGGCAAATACAACAAATAATGTTGGTCATCTTACCATTAAAGCTTTGTTGAATTATTATTATCAAGAGTCATATTTGGAATCATTATTAGTCGGCGCTTTGTCTCTCGACTGATGAATATATCAAAGATGAATGGAGAAATAATCTGTATATATATATATATATATATTGCAAACTATAAGTGTGATTAATATAAGAAATTAAATTAAGCAAAGTTGTGATTAAGAGAAACATGGGGTCTTTTGTCTCTCTGTGATCTCCAAAAGTGTAAGGAGAAAAGGCTACAGTCAAAAGGGGCAATCAAAAGTTTAAAGAAAACACTTTGTAAAGCAAAAAACATAAAATAAACTAATCAAGCTGCGCAAAAAAAAAGCTTTATTGAAGTGGGGCACTAAGACAACACTGAAAATACCATTGAATTGATTAAAAATTTTAAATCCTCTTTGATTAAACATTACATGCCTAAAAAAATGGCGTTGGGAATGGCAACAAAGTAATCATAATCAAATGGGTCAACCTGTTTCTTGTTTTTAGCAATTTCCCCTAATTCTAAAATGCCTTTGTCATCTCATCACTACTTATATTATGGAGATCACCTAATGAAAGAAAACTCAATCGATGAAGAAACTAGAAACAGGAAATATATTTTAAATATGTGATCGAACAAACTTAAGATAAGGCAAGGAAAGAGAGATGATCTCTATTCATGATAGTATTAATTTAAAAAACTTTAATATATAATAATTTTTTGTTTCTTTTGAGAAATGACATTAGGGCTTGCTCTAGAATCTATGAACCTTGACTACTCCACTCAAGGATTTGAAGTAGACAGGATTAATTCCATCTGACCCTATCTAAAAAATATATGGACATATGGTTAATTTAGAACATGGTTTCATAATTAATGTACTTAAATTAATTAAAGAAATTATTGCTCTTAAATCCCTATAAATATTTCTTAGGGAAGTGCAATCATGAGAAGTTATAAATTCAAGAAAAAAAAAAATTATTTTATTCAACCCTTTTTGACAAATAAAACCTTAATCTCTATAGCAACAAAATCAACACAAATCTTAAAAACGTATAATTCCTTTAAGTCTGATCATATCTAAACCGCTCCACTAAATAAATACAATTTCAATGGGGTAATAAAATGAAGAGGAAAATATGCTTTTCTTCGTACTGAAGGTTACCATTTGTCGAGAAGAAAAGTTGAGTTCAGTCAATAAACTCTTCTTCTTAAAAGGTGTGAGAGCTAGCTACTACTGGGAATTCAAGACCAAGATCTCTTCGGAAAAGGAGTTTTTTTTTTTATCAGTTTTATTTAAATAGATCGATGGGGACTTTAAATTACATTTAATTGGCGAAATATAAATGGGAGTGGGGGCCTAGTTAGAACTCTATCTCTTTCTCTTAATTTTCTTCCACGTTTTGTTGTTTTGGGGGTCATATCATCAAGAGAATTTCTGCACATTCAACAGAATCAAAGTTTTTTTTTTTTTTTCCTTTTCAAGTTCTAAAGGTTATCCGGGATTTAGGGAAAAAGATAATTGTCGTAAGACTTGGACTTTGACGAAAGGCAAAGAGTTAACACTTTAATTCAATAAAAAAAAAAACTTTTGTTTTGTACAAGTAGCTGTATCCATCCATCAAAATATTAATTCATCAAAAGACTCAGCTCCTTTTATTTTAAGTCAAGTAGTCAAACACACTCGTGTCATTCAATCCACTGGGCAATTAATCATTCATGCAAACCCTTTGGCTTATATATATATATATAAAACTGAACCCAGAAAAATAACCTATATCCTTTCTCTATCGCATGCATACCACTAGAACTAGATACTTTGATCCTACTGCTATTATATGCCTAGGGCATGCAAATTATATTTGGTGCTTCATTAAGTGTACTTTGTAACAACCCTAAAATTTAACCTAATTTCATTAAGTGTGCTTGCTATTATTGATGTTCTTGACCTTTCTCCTAGTCTAGGCATGTTCTATTTATATTATCTTGTTTTGTAAATCATATTGATACTTTCTCATATATTTCATCCTGAAATTATATATATAGTCTCTAGCTCTAGCTTTTTATTTTCTTTTATATATATATATATATAATAAGATATCATGAATTGGATGCTTTCACATTTTATTGCTGTATAATTTTGTTTTGACAATTTATGGTATGAATAGAGATGTTAGTTTTGTGGATTCATTATTCATTACTTAAACTCGCATTTGAGGTGTGATGAAAGCAATGCTTATATATATATAATCACTATTTATATGAAAATTAAACTAGGTCAATTGTAATACATGTTTAAAACAGTATCTAATTTAGAATTAGAAGAGTTCCACACAATTTATTAAAAAAAAAAAAAAAAAAGTATGAAGGAGAGTTATTAATGTTTGATTAGCTATTTGTTATACGGTAAATTCATAGGGCATGAATTTCTGCCACGTGTCTTATGATTATGCAAGTGGAGCATGAGTTCTTGCCACTTGTTATCTGACTATACATCCGTCCAGGTTGCGTGTCACACCAAGAATAGATTACTTCATTTGTAAGGCTGTTATAGATTGCTAAATTCAACAGTAAGGTTTAGGGTTGAACTGTCCTCCAAGTCACATGTCACCTCATGAGAGAACTTCTTTACTATTAAGTCTCTAATAAGGGCTGTTTTTCAGACCACGTGTTATGCGATGAGAGGGTTACTTCATAAGCAAGACTATCCATGCAGCAATATAAATAATGAGGGTTCCAGAATTTCATTTTCTCAATAGCTAAGAGCAATTGTCTCTCTTGAGAGCAAATAGCTTTTGTAAATAAATCAGGAAACACACAAGAAAACAATAAGATAACAGTGGACGTAAGATTTACACCTTGTATCCGAACCACTTTAAAAATTTCTTTTGTCTACTCTTTCTATTTATTTACTTGCAGTATTATTGTAGCTCATTTGTTCAATATCATATTTCTCAATCTCACAAGGCCCTTTACGTGAACTCTCTCGAAGGCTAGCGTACTTCTCGTTAGTGTGAGAAATCGCAACAACACTATTAATCTTAGATGCACTTATATCTTAATCCACAGTAATTGATTCTAATATAATTAATAATTTTTTGAAAGAAATAAAAGGAATAGTCACGAAGAGGCTCAATAATATATTAGAAATAGAAAACAAAAGGGTTTTATAATTTATATAAATAATTTTCTAATGGATTTTTAAATAAAATATATTTTGGAACAACTTTGTGGGGTGAAAAATCTTAAAAGTCGCACTAAAGCCAACAGAAGCGGGCGTCAAAATCCACCTCTATGTTATGAACCAATGGAAAATTGCCATGTAATCCTTAAGAACCAATCACACATTATTAGACTTGTCAGACTTGACACGTCGATACTATTGCCACGTAATCAACTGCATCTTC